ATGGCAGGGAAGACAGGTGGGCACACTTCACAAACCTTTGCCAAAGATGTCTGCAACTACCTACTAAGAGATATGAGAACAGCCTTGGATGCCTTCCTGTGGTGAACACCTGGCTTATACTCGACATATCCCCCAACAGCAATGCTAATAGCTTCGTGGGGAATTGCGGGAGCCAATCCTTGTCCTTCCATTCTACAACACATTGCTTTTCAGCTCTAGTGCTTAGTATCATCAAGTCACATAGATTTTCTTGTTTCTGCAACACAATTTCTACTTTAAAATGATCAAACTCCTTTACTTAATCCACTTAAAGCCTTCCAACAAAAATACTATCAACTATAAGTGGAAACTTAACTGTGGCACTCTGTTCACCATAGCAAAACTGGATTGGGTGCCACCTCTGCTCTATTGATTTTTGCAGGTTTCATGCAATTCCAATCGAAATTGACAGTGCTGGGGGGTGTGCACCATAGACATGTATGATCACGTGGTGGGTAAGTTTTTCATTGGTGAAGTCTGCTGTCAGCTAGTATGGGTGAGGTAGAAAAGAGCAAACATGAAGACACAACTTTCCTGTCCAACTGCATTGCCATTATTATTAAGACTTATTGAGAATTGAAAGGTAGCTTTTTCAAATATTTTTCAAATTTAAATTTCACTTGTAAATGTTTTACATATCATTGATTTTACATTATTCATGTATACATTATCTCTATCTATTGAGTGCATTATCCGTACTTATTGCTTAGTTGAGAGCTAAATGTATTGGTGTACCTCTTGGTTGTTTCTTCCACAGTAAAGAAATGTCTCTACCAATGTTGTGGTTCTGCATTCATGTTTTATTGTATGTTCCTGTTCATGTCCAGCATTGTCCTTGCTATGTTCAGCACATGCTGGCTTGCCCTTCTGTGTATTGTAAACGAGACTGAGTGATATTGTAAAGGAAACTGTCTGATTACCACTTACTTAGCCCCTCAAGCCTGCTCTGCCATTCAGCAAGATCAATGCCAATCTGACTGTAAACTTAACTCTACGTTCCCACCCACTTCCGATAAACTTCCACCCCTTTTCTTACCAAGAATCTATCTACATGCTAGCCACAACACCCACTCTTGCAGGCCCTGTAAAACCCCTTCCTATATATGTTATTTACAGTGATTTTTATTCTTAGCAAGAAGCTCCATGTCTATAAACAAAACAGATACTCATTTCATGTCATAAGGAAAACTCTCTGCCTCTTCCAACTTTCATACTTTAAGTTCTGGTGACTTTGCCTAGCTCTACTGGCTCAGTCTCATTTGAGCAGATCTATACTTCTCTGTCTTTAGAAACAACAGAGAAGGATCCTCGATTGTATAAACAATCAGGCAATGAAAAAAATTAACAATAATTGCTAAAGGTGTATTACATAAAGGCTAAAATATAGAAAAACAACAATATCTTAAGATGCATTGCAATCTCTGAAAGTGTGCAGAGGGATATAGATAGTCTAAGTGAGTGGGCAAAGGTCTGGCAGATGGAGTACAATGTTGATAAGTGTGAAGTCATTCATTTTGGTAGGAATAACAGCAAAATGGACTATGTTTTAAATGGTAAAAAATTGCAGCACGCTGCTGTGCAGAGGGACTTGGGTGTCCTTGTGCATGAATCGCTGAAGGTGGGATTGCAGGTGCAGCAGGTGATTAAAAAGGCAAATGGAATTTTGTCTGCCATTGCTAGAGGGATGGAGTTTAAAAACAGAGATGCTATGCTGCAGCTGTATAGGGTCCTGGTGAGGCCACACCTGGAGTACTGTGTGCAGTTTTGGTCTCCTTACTTGAGAAGAGATATACTAGCACTGGAGGGGGTGCAGAGGAGATTCACTCAGTTGATTCCAGAGTTGAAAGGGTTGGATTATGAGGAGAGACTGAGTAGACTGGGATTATACTCATTGGAATTCAGAAGAATGAGGGGAGATCTTATAGAAACATATAAGATTATGAAGGGAATAGATAAGGTGGAGGCAGGGAGGTTGTTTCCGCTAGCAGGTGAAACTAGGACTAGGGGGCATCGCCTCAAAATAAAGGGAAGCAGATGTAGGACTGAGGTCAGGAGGAACTTCTTCACCCAAAGGGTTGTGAATCCGTGGAATTCCCTGCCCAGTGAAGCGGTTGAAGCTACCTCGCTGAATGTTTTTAAGGCAAGGCTAGATAAATTTTTGACCAGTAAGGGAATTAAGGGTTATGGTGAGTGGGTGGGTAAGTAGAGCTGAGTTTCAAAGATCAGCCATTATCTTATTAAATGGCGGGGCAGGCTCGAGGGGCCACAGTAGTAAATAGATAATACTGAAAGCCACAGATGTCTTAGTTCAGACTGAGACAATGGCTGAGATAGAAAATGAACTCGATGACAAGGGTACAGATTTTGTGGAAATGGCCAAAAATTAGAATTTTGACCTTCTCCATGTTTAACTGTAAGAAATCATGCCTCACCCAAAGGCTGACCACACAGAGGCAGGCAGGGTTGAGTTAGGTGGTGAATTTATGGGGCTAAAGTTGTTTTTCTTCAAGATTCTCCAAAGCTGTTTCTAATAATTCCGATCATTACATTTGTAGAACTTCTACATTTTGCAATTAAAATAAAAATTTGATGAATTTAACTTCACTTAAAGAAATTAAAATGATTCATATAGTTTAGTATTTTACAAGAGCCGTCCTATGAATGTGATGGAGATCTACTGGCCTTTCCTTGGATGTATGTAAAGCTAATTCTGTTCTGTAACTTACAAATCTGTTTTCAATTAGTTTACATAGTTCACGATGGGTCTTTTTGCTACCATGTAGCAACTTGTTTGGGAGGCTGCACCAGAATTGTTGGATAATAATCACAGGGATGTGAGCAATAACCTTAGTAATCACCAAAAATAAAGCTCATGTTCAAGGCAGTCAGTCAACCTGAGAGACCAAATTCAACTTCCTATGCCTTATGGAATAAAACATGTTTCCATGTGCAATTCTTTTATTGACTACAACATACAAAAATATTTAATCCTAGTGTTGGGAAAATAATGCTTTGATCAGAGTCAGAAGTGTATTAAAGGCTCAGAATGAATGTTGTCACTAAAAGCAGATGAATGCTTAACACATTTACTTGACACTCCTTTGTACAAGATTTTAGAAGAAGCATTAACCCCTGTTTTAACAGAGCAGAGGTATCAATTCATTTAAAAATAATTAGCCAGTTCAAGCCATTATTTACATAGCTGTTCAACGGACCTTGATTTAGACACCAAATGTTTTTAAGTAAATAAGACTGAAACGGCAGGGATCTGGTGTGGTGTGGCTACAGTATGTTGAATTCTGTGGAATTACTGCAATAAGGAAGGATCTGGACTCTAAGCAAATTCAGCTAAAAGTTACTGAACTTGAGTCTTGAGTTGCAGACATTCCAGGGCATCAGGTTTATCTGAACATGTTGTTCTGGGAGCAATTATATCCCTTAGATAGGCAGAACTTCAGAATTTACTGATAGTCAGAAACAGGAGGGTATGGATGTGAGCCAGGCGGGCATGGAGATCCGGATGTGAGCCAGGCAGGCATGGAGATCCAAATGTAATAATGTAGGAGTCTTAGTCCTTGATTTTGAACAAGAGGTATGTGGTGTTTGCTATCTGCACAGGTGAAAAATATGGCTGCAAGGTGTATGAACATATTGACCATGGCAGAGGTTGCTATTTAAGTGAGTTTAGCAAAAAAACATACACCAGCAGTGGGAAACAGCATTGGGGCAATAGATTCTGTTCTCTGCAATGCAACCAGGGCTCTAAATATTGTGCTGCCTGCACTGTGCCAGGGTTAAGACATCTCCTCATGGTGAAGACAAAGTTGGATTGGAAGAGGGAGGATCTAGGTGTTGTAATCCACATAGGAACCAATAACATAGGCAGAACTAGAGAAGATGTTCTGCTAAGAGAGTGCTTTAGAAATCGAGACGAGAAATTATCATGGGGAATGTGGAAATGACTGACATTGAATAAATATATTGGGAGGAATCTTATCAGGGCTAGAACAAAGTGGGTACAGTGAGAAATCTGGGAGAATCACGTGACACGTTGGGGAGGTCTTTGTCGATGTCAAGAGTAACTTGTTGAATTTTTGAAAACAAGATTTTCACTAGGGAGTAGTGAGATGCCTGTTAACGGGAATTATTGTTTATTAACAACTTCATTAAGAATGACTCTCGCCTTGTTGATATGCAGCTTGCTACCTACCACCAGCCATGAGGAAAACTAGATGTTGACATTTCCTGACATGACAGTTAGAGGTGGTACTGGGCAACTTCAGCTTGCTGCTTGCTCCTTCAGGCTGCCATCTTGGACACCCAGCAACAATGCCTCAAGGCACAATCCAGAGCACCAGCTACATGCACCCCACATCTACAGACATCGGCATCTAACAACTGCCAGCCTCTCAGAATCCTCATGGCATCTCTCTGATCCACTTGCAGGACTCACTGGCAACTAGCAGTCAAATACTGTTTCAAGGATACTTTGCACACAGGAAAAGGGATCTCAGCTCACAGATTGGACTGGGCAGCATCTCAGAGCTACTCGCTTGCTCAGCACCTATTTGGATGTTAACAGTATCCCCGCCTTACCTTACGCTGCCATGCCATGCTTTTAGCACAATGACACTTCAGCCGGAGTCTAAAGGCTTACTCTAATGCCATAGTGACTTGCTATTTAGTTTGATGGGCAGAAGCGCAGGGTCGCCTTCTGCAGAAGGACATTGAGGACGCAAAGGCATTGATTATGTTTTTGCAAATTACACCTGCACTTAATTTGCAATCACATCACTGAAATGTACACGGTCTGAAAGTGTTTGGGGTTAAAATGATGTTCACAGGCAATGTTGACAATGTCTTTGGCCTTGCAAATTGCACACAAAGATCTCAATGAAGCAGATATTATCACCAGTGACATTAAAAGAGGAGGATTCGGGTCACACCAACACAGTACTTACCAGGACTTCCAAGACCACTGTGATTCACAGATCCAATCTTCTCTGCACCTGCATGTGATGGTAACTTCCTCTGTTGTTATAGGGCTGAGAAGGGAAGTGTTCAGAGCATAAAACAATCCCAACAGATTGTTCTGTGTTTCCCACTCATCCAGTGAAACTCATTTACCAAGTAAGCGGTTATTCCAAAGAGCCATGAGAAGACCATACATGGCCCTCATTGTTGGGGTACAACATATCTTGTTGTATGGAGGTGTTTGTGTAGCTGTTGTCTGCAAGGTATGTCAGCATTGAAACTTCTCTGAGGAATGTATCTGTCTGTCCCTTATATTTTCAACATGGGTTTCTGGCAACAGGAGCCATTGATGCGAACGCAGGTGTAATGTGTCAGTGTGTAATGTGGGAACTTTAATAAACTATATCAGAGTAAATGATATCACAGAAAATAATGACCATAACATGCCAGAAATTAGCATTTAGTTTGAGAGGGGTAATCATGGGTCAGAAACAACTGTGCTAAACTTAAATAATGGTATTACAAAGGAATGAGGGAAGAGCTGACTGGAGCAGACTGGGAAAGGCTTTTAGCAGAAAAAACTATTGAGGAATAATGGTAGGCATTCAAGAAAATAGTACATGGCTCACAACAAAGATATATCCCAGTGAGAAAGAAGGATTCTAGGAAGGGGATAAGCCAACGATGGTTAATCAGACAAGTTAAAGATAGCATCAAATTGAAAGAAAAGAAAACATATAAAATGGCAAAGATTAGTGGGAAACCAGACTAGGAAAGTTTTAAAAATTAATAAAAGATGACCAAAAATAAAAAAGAGGGAGAAAATAAACTTTGAGTATAAACCTGCAAGTAATATCAAGACAAACAACAAGAGCTTCTTTAGATATATGAAAAGGAAGTGGGAAGCCAAAGTGATTAGAGGCTCCTTACAGAAGGAGGCTCATGAAATAACAATGGGAACCAGGAAATGTTATTGTTACGTGATACATTTCAATGTTTTGCATCTTTTTTCTCTGTTGTGGCCTATATATTACACACATGTAACAATTATTTTTGTTTTTATTTAATTCCCTGATGTTTACCAAAAAGAACTGGAATAGTTCAATTGCTTTACATGGCTCAAGGATCCCTCCCTGGTACTTCTTAGGGTAGAGAAATATAGATCTGTTGGATGAGACTGAGCTAGTAGAGTGGGCAAAGTCACCAGAACTTAAAGTATAAAAATTGGAAGGGGCAGGTTGATTTGTCCTTATGACATGGGACAAGTACCTATTTTGCTAATGGACATAGCTTCTTGCTATGAAAGAAAATCACTATAACTAGAATATACAGGGAGAAATTCTATGAGCCCTGCAAGAGTGGGTGTTGTGGCTGGCAGGTAGATAATACCTGGTAAGCAAGGGGTGAAAGTTTAGTGGGTGTGAGTGGGAATGTAGAGTTAAGCTTACAATCAGATCAGCCAGATCTTGCTGAATGTTGGAGCAGGCTTGAGGACTAAGTGGCTTATTCCTGCTCCTACATTATATCTGTATGAGGGTCCTAACAGGTGAGGTCATTACTGTCCAAATTTGGATCCAACCTTAGAATGTTGGCTGGCAGAGTTCTAACATGGCATTGAGTTCACCTTTAACATTTTGATTATCCCTGCTGGGAGTAATCTCAGACAATCTCCTTTACAATATTCAGAAGGACAAATCAGCCTGTCGCACAGCATGGCAAGTACAACACCTATTCTTATGGAAATGTGAATGCAGGAACACAATATTGTTTCTCCCACAGTAAAGAAATGTCTCCAATGCCCCAATAACCAATGTGTGCCAATCAATGTATCAACATTGATACATTTTGCTCTCAACTAAGCTATGCTCAACAACAAAAACAAAGTTGCTGGAAAAGCTCAGGTCTGGCAGCATTTGTGAAGAAAAATCAGAGTTTCCGGTCTGTTCAGTTCTGAGGCAGGGTCACCGGACCCGAAATGTTAACTCTGATTTTTTCTTCACAGATGCTGCCAGACTTGCTGAGCTTTTCCAGCAACTTTGGTTTTGTTCCTGATTTACATCATTCACAGTTCTTTCAGCTTTTATTAAGCTATGCTCAACCAGGAAATAGCAAAGGAGTTGAATAAATATTTTATATCAGTCTTCATGATAGAAGACTCTAATAACATTCTAAAAAATCTAAATATTCAAGAGTCAAGAAGGGTTAAGGAAATATATACAACTACCAGTGGCAAATAGGTACAAGGACAAATAATGGGCCTTAAGACCTATGCCCCCTAGACCTGAAGGGATGCCTCTTAAGATATTATGAGAAGTAGCTACAAAGATAGTGGATGCATTTGTAATAATCTTCCAAGGATCCTTAGATTCTGGAAAAGTCCCAGAGGATTAGAAAACTGCCAATGTAACAACTTTATTCAAAAAGGGAAGGAAAAAAAAATCAGATAATTACACTGATTGAATTTAGAAGAATAAGAAGTGACTAGTTTGAAACATCTTAGATTCTCAGGGGACTCAACAGGGTAGATGCAGAAAGGTTGCTTTCCCTTGTGGGTCTGTCCAGGACCAGAGGAACATAATCTCAGAATAATGGATCACCAATACAAAACAAGATGAGGAAAAATTTCTTCTCTCATATGGATACTGAATCTATGGAATTCTTTGCTGCAGAGGGCTGCAGAGGCTGAGTCATTCAGTATATTCAAGGCTAAGATTTTTACTCAATAAGGGAATCAAGGATTATGGGGAAAAAAACCAGGAAAGTGGACTGAAAGGGAATGACCTGTTACCACATTGTAGGGATTCCATGACTCTATGATCAGATTAGCCATGATCTCATTGAATGGCCAAGGAAACAGAATGTGGCCAAACTTGGAGTCATTAAATAGGTCAGCAGAAGTTGCATGGAAAATATATCAGTAACTTTTTGTATATCAAATTTTATTTCAGTTAATGCCAGTTACTCCATATTAATCCATACTGCTCCCTGCTACCCTCACATTCCTTAAAAGTCTTCTGATCAGTTCAGCTCCTTGAAGCAGTACCAAATTTGCTGTCCCCATCCCCACCCAAGCACTCTCACTGCTCATCGATTTTGTTTAAACCAAATCAACAAAATCAATGGGGTCTCCTATTAGTGACATTGGGCACTATGTACGGTTAGCCGCCCTACCATCAGCTTGACCTTCACTCAAAATTAAAACTGATTTCGCCATCTTCGGGAAATAGGCAGTAAGAGAAGAAACATATTCTTACCGTACTGGCATTCCAAAAGTTATTTCAGGAAGCATGCCTTCTTTTTTTTCTACCTCTTTCCCCAAAATTCCAACGTTGTGTGTTGCCCTAAACTGATAGATCTCTCGTGGAGTAACCAATCCAGCTTTAATGGCTGCTTTATTCAATGCTGCAAAGTCACGTCTGAGTTTGTGCAGAGTTTCCTGTTTTCTGGGTTTAATTGTATGCCAGTGACCAATAGCTGAGAGATACAGTGGAAAAGAAAAACAAATGATAATTTGGATTGAGCATCAAACTAATACATAATTTTTTTCTGACCATGCACTAAGAGGATTAGTTTCATTCCTTATATTGGTATTCTACATTCAGTGCACAGGCTTCATTCTTTTATTTACCTCAAAGGTAATAAATCATGTTCTGTTAGGTCCGTTGTAGAGTAAACATACTTGCATACTTTGGAGTAATGCCTTTTGAATTCTGTTATTAACACTTTGTATTGTGTTGAATTGTTTACTGCTGATACAATATTCCATTAATTTTAATCCTTGCTTAATCTATTCTCTTTAGCTTTCCCTCTTCTTATTCCACTTTCTTGCTATATTTTGTTTGATTCCAAATCACCATATTTACTCCATATTGCATTATGCTTCTTCTTATGCAGAGATTAAAACAAAAGGCAGGGGCCAACCGAACAGAGGGAGTTGAAAAATGGTTTCCACATAGACAAGGGTCATTCCATGATTCAGCAATGCCTCCCTAGATGCATTCCTGCAGGAAATAAGAAAAACAGAGGGGTCCTGTTTTCAGCATATAGGAAATGTGGCTGGAGGTGACAGACAGAGTGAACAGCAGAGGCCAGGCATAAACAAGTACAAGAGCCACATTAGGCATATAGGTTCACACTGAACTTTCCAATTCAGGTGCACCTGAATTGCATGGTCAGTGATGGGTGAATACTGCATTGAGATGCCTGAACCGCAGCATTACCATGCATCCCAGCAACACAATGTTACATTGCTTCAGGATGACTAGTATAGATTGACCACAAGTGACACTGTATATATCTGTCTACAGAAATGCATTCAGAATGCCAGGAGCTGTCAGCACCTAGGAGGTGGAGGGTGTTTAATTGCCACGGTGACACTGATGAAGGAGGAGGTGGCAGCCATGGACATCAGATGCAACGTGGAAGGGTAACTTGTTGCTGAAGGTGAGGCTGATGTGGAAGCAGTGGTGAATGAGTAAAGCATTAGCTGAGCCCATAATTCCTGTGTGTAACACTTACATACACCTTTAACCCTACTGGATGGACTTGATCAAGGGAAGGCAATGGGCCTGGTTGAAGGAGTAGCTGTTTTACTTAATTCATACCTCTCCAGTATGTACAGCATTAGATGAGGAACAGACAAGGGCTCTGCTACAATGAAAAGCTCATAGAAGCCACCACCAACTGAGGACTTTGCTTCCCCTTCACCAGCTCAACTATATTCACAGTGGTGGATTTTTTGCACATGAAAAATGGGTGACATAATCTGGTGAACACAATCCCAGGCTTTGAAGAATTGATTATGTTGGTACTAGATGCTGTGGCCTGCAAGGTTTTTTTGTATTCATTCGTGGCAAGTGGGCATAGCTGGCTGGGTCAGCATTTACTACCCATCTCTAGTTGCCCTTGAGAAGATGCTGCCTTATTGAATCCTGCAGTCCATTTGGTCCAGTCCAGTGTTTGTCATTGTTACTTCCAATGACAGGTGGTCCATCTGGCGTCATTTCTTTTTTTGAGATGTTTTAGTAGTTGATATAACTGAGTAGCTTGCTAGGCCATCTTAGAGGCAGTTTTTCCTTCCTTACATTGAACCAGATGGGTTTTTTTTATGGTTTCATGGTCATCATTGGACTTTTAATTCTAGATTTTTATTGATTTCAAGTTTCACCATTTGCCACGGTGAGATTCAAACTCAGAGTCTGAGAACATTACCTGGGTCTCTGGATTGGTAGTCAGTGACAATACCGCAATGCCATCGTCTCCCATATCTACAGCATAGGTGGCATCATTTCTCTGGCATGGTTGTACATTGTGTCTCTCCACAGAGAGAATGATAACCCCCATGGAGAAGCACATGGAACATAGCAATGAGTAGGTGCAAGGGGTACACACTATTACATGGTCATGACAGCAATGCAGTGTTGTATTAACAAGATGAGGCAACCACATATCTCCAGGAGCTAAACCATTCCAGGCAATAACGAGAGGCAATCTAGGAGAAGGCTAAGGAGGAGCAGGCTGATGGCAATGGAGGCTCAGACAAAGCTTTTTGATTGCTGAAAACAGATTGTTAGCCCTCTTTTTTTAAAAACGGTGACACTAACTCTAAATGTTAGATATCTGAGGCAGCACCTACACAGATGCTGATGGAGCTGAATGCGAAGGGCCATTTAGGGTTTATGAACCAAGGGGGTGCAAGCCATGGCCATTTCATGCATTGGAAAAGAAAGGTACAAAAAATAATGCTGATCACATAATAACCCCAGGTGCACGTTACCATAAGTGAATACATTAACGAATGGACTAACATTTGGGATCGCATTGGGTGAATTTTGTCATTAAGCACAAATATTTTATGGAAGTTAAAAAGTCTTGATATTCAATGTGTAAGGACTTGTGTATTTACTCTTGTGCATCAGTTGACAGTGATCAGATGTGGAAATAAATACATGGATGTTCTGTAATGGTGAGCACCTCATGAGCATCTGGGTTGACATTGGGCCATGGCAATGTAGTGCCTCTAATGAAAAGTCAGGAAGACTGCCTCTGGGAGACAGCTGCTTAGGTCTTTAGCTCCCTTGAGCTGAATAACATGAAATGTCAGCTGATGACAGAGTGGTGAAGTCATGTATCTCACTGTCCTGTGTGTTGGGCCCCGCACTGTCAGCTTCATTTGCTTTCTAAGTGTCTTTCTCTGGTTCCAGCACCTGTCTTCTCTGGAAAGTAAGCTTTTACATATTGAAGGGCTCCCCCAGACTTATCATGGTCTCTAAACCTCAGCTTCAAAAGGCCAGTGGTCCACTGACTCAATGGTGGCCCTTGTAGTCAATGGTAACAGTTATTATGTATTCGTTTATTCATTCACAGAATGTGGGTGTCAATAGTCAGGCCAGCATTTGTTGCTCATTCCTATTTAATCTTGCGAAGATGATGGTGAATTTCTTGAACCACTGCAGTCCATGGTTTGGGGGTGGGGGGAGAATGGTACACCCACAGTGCTGAGATGAAGGGAATACCAAGATTTTGACTGAGTGACAGTGAAGGAACAACAATACATCCCAAGTCAGTGTGTTACTTGGAGGGGCACATGCAGTTTGTGGTATTTTCATCCATCTGCTACCCTTATCATTTTAGGTAGTAGAAGTTGCAAGTTTAGAAGATCCTATCAAAGTTAACTTGGTGAATTTTTGCAGTGCATTTTGTAGATGGTACACACTCTACCACCATGAGTCAGTGGTGGAAACAGAGAATGTTGAAGGTGGTTGATGGGGTACCAATCAAGCGGGCTGCTTTGTTCCGGATGCTATCAACGCACTGGGTATTTTTGGAGCAGCATTCATCCAGGCAAGCGGACAGTATTCCTTCATGCTCCCAACTTATTCCTTGCAGATGCTGGACAGGCTTGACAGAGTCAGAAAGTGCCTTTGGCCTGTTCTTGTAACCATGTGTTTACATGGCTGCTGCTATTTAGTTTCTAGTCAATAGTAACCCCAGGATGTTGAGAGTCAATAATTCAGTGATGATAAGCCATTAAATTTCAAGGGGAGATGTTTAGATTCTCTCTTATTGGAGACAGACATTGCCAGGCACTTTTAATACATATGTTACTGGCCACCTCTCTGCCCAAGCCTGAATGATGTCCAAGTCATGGACTGCTCCTGTATCTGAGAGTGCTGAACATTATGCAGTCATCAGTGAACACCCAAGCTACAGACCTTTATGTTGGAAGGAAGGTCACTGATGAAGCAACTGAAGATAGTTGGGCTTAAGACACAACATTGGGAAATTCTAACCCATATCCCTGAAGCTAACTGCCCTGTTGGCTTGAATGACCTAGTTGATTGTGAACTTGATATATTGTCCAGCTCAACAATACATGACATAGGTGATATACTTTATGAATCCATAGGTGACTAAATGAGAGATGCCACATAGATCTTCAGATAATCCCTGGAACAAATAACTGCGGAAAAGGTTGAGTGCAGATGTCTTCTTTAAAGCAACAGTCTGCCACTTGAATATTCAATCAACCAGGATTTCTGTTCAGAATTTTTGTTGACTGGAATTAGTTATGACCCAGATTTCCACAAATCTACAGACAATTTAAATGTTACAGAGTCAAGTGAAACACATAGGAGAAATGAATAGAAAGATATGTTCATTGGGCTAGATAAAGACTAGAAGGCTCGTAAGGAGTATAAACCCAGACATGGCCCATTCCTGTTCTGTAACTACTTTATAAAACTTTGTCATAGATGAGTTGCTTTTGAGAGCTTCTTCTCAGGTAAGAGGAAATCACAGCGGTGTTTGTCCCATGTAGCAACCATGCATTTAATGTTCTTGGAAATGTACAAGAGCTTCAGACACACATTATCGAGACAAATCCAGCCTAGGATGAAAGAATGGCCAAGAGGAAGATGTTAATTCCTAGGACCTAAAGTTGAAATGTTGAAGTGAAATTACATTCAAGTGAATGTTGGTTTTCTGAAATTATAGTATTGTACGTCATACTGTAAAGAAAGAACATTCTAATCATTTGCAGAAATTTGAATTGTCATTTTAAATATGCTGATTTCTACTGTAATTTAAAAAAGTAGTCTCTTGTAGTATAACAGTCAACTGTGTCTTATTACCTGCAGGAACTCCGCCATCATAGACTCTCTCAATTGTCCCATACACATGAGTAGGTCCTGGTAGGGGGTTACCACTTCGCTTTCCTTTGCCAAGTTCAGACTAAAACAAGAAAGAAATAACAAAAAAGGTTACAATCTGAATAGTAAAGGACATTTTCGATCCGGCCCAAAATCAGTTCTCTCACTGCTGACCCTGACCCAGTCTCCAATTATAATCTGAGGCTGAAGCAGACCAATCACAGTCTATCATCTCGATCACTCTCAGAGGAACTTCTAATGCGATATCTACTTCATCACCATATTCATGTATTTCCATGTCCATTACATCGCTCATCTCTTGCCCTGCCTCAGTTCATCTGTTTCCAAAACTCAATTATTCCGGTGCTTTCTTGGCTGGCTTCCCATCTTCCATCCATTACAAACTTGAGGCCTTCTAACATGCTACTGCCTTTTGACTAACTTTCACCAAACCCAGTTCCACCCATCAACTCTGTGACCACTGGTCAACTTGGCTCCTTGTCAGCCAATGCCTGCATTTCCAAATTCTCATTGTCAAATACCGTCAGGTTGGAAGTGATGGGTTGCAAGTTGTTACAAACTGCTGACTTTAGATCTCTTTTTCCCACCTTAACCTTTAACTCATGATTCCCTCACTACTATTGTGTGCTTCATCTACTCATTTCACACACCTACTCCACTTCCAGTCACCCTCTCAGCTCTACTATTACTCTTAACTTTTCCTTTTTGGACTTCAACTGTGTAATCCTTGTTGCAGTTTTATCACTGTTAGCCTTCCATTTACTTCCCCTCAACCCCAAACACTCCTCTCAATCCAGATGACTGTTTCACACTTAATCTGTTCCCCTCATCTCTATATCCTAATTTCCCTTCTACATCTCCTTCCCGTTTTCCTCTTGCGGGGGGGGGAGGTGTCTATTTGTCTACATAGTTAGGCTTATTGACTCTTTTTATACAAAAATGGATTGAAGACACTTTTGTTAATTTGTCTGTCTACCATTCTGTTTCTAGATCTTAGCAATTAGAATCTCCATCAAAACTGCATTGGAACTTATTTTAAAATCTGACCTCTTAACATGATTTATGGAAAGAGATAGATAGGACCGTTATACAGCACAGTCACCAAAGCCAGTAGCTACATTGACAGGTAAGTTGTGACATTTTTAACATCAAGACCACAAACGTGGGCACCATAGCATTGGTAATTTTGATGCGGCAGGTGTTGGTTTAACAGAAAAATGTCAGTTGTGCGACTTCTTGCCCACTTCTGCTATGGCTCCTACTCACTCATTACTTCGGTGAGGGTGGTAGCATGCACAAGAAGTATGCAGAAGTGGACAAATTGTGACATCATTCAGCATTTAATGATTTGACATTTGACCTGCCACTCTTGGCCTCTCTGCTCTAGATATGTTCTTAAACAACTGGACACGTATTCAGCAGAGTAAATGACATATCACCAGCATTGTTTAAAGGGAGCATCATCCAACTTTCAGAATAGTTGTCTATTACTTTCTATGGACATTTGCTGAGCTTTTGGGTGTCTGCAGGAATTCTCAAAAATTTTGGGGAAGGTCTTGGTTGCTACTGCAAGTTCTGAGATCAACATTTGTGCCTGTTCATGCTGGCTACAACAGCAGTAGTACCAGAAAAAAATGAGGCACAGGAAGAAAAGGAGCTCTGTAGAGAGGGCAGGGGTTCAAATACTCTTTGTAGGAGGCTATACCCACCTGGGATTTTCACAGAGCAATTGTCTTATTTGCATTTTTACGAGGAGTAGTACGCTTGATAGCTTCCACCACTTACTTACCATGAGGAAACAGCCCTTGCCACCATAGGTTCAACAAAGACCTCAGGAGGAAGAGGCAGAGGAAGGGATGAGACAGTTGGCACATCCACATTCTAGCCAGGCTGCTCATGAGCACATATATACCTCTGACTTTTTATGAATAAAACCCTAGATTGCCATGGTTTAGCATTTCCACAACCCTCACCCTCTCTCCAGTGTTCTCTTGGTCACAATTATGAAATAAAGTTCATCACAAAGCAAACATTCCCTACTAACATTATCCAACAAAATACTTAAAACTCTGGAGAACACTCAATTAACCACGCTTCTGCATCCCCTTACTGTTGGTCTTGTGAGTGCCTCTGCTTGTTTTTGTGCTCCTGCAATGCTACTCTAGTATCTGCAATATGACTGATTGAAGGCTGCGATTTTCAAAGAAGAGGCTGCAAGGGGCTTTGCAATACGCCCAAAAGATGCTTTGGATTTGAAGAGCTTTAGACTGATCATCTCAGCCTTGGTGTAAGCAACTGAGTTGGCTGATTGACTGATTGGGGCACAGAAAAGGCAGTGCTGATATGGAGCGCAAATGCTGTCATGCTGAGAGAGATCAGAAGATGTGCTGCATGGTACCATTGCCATGACGAATAGGCTACGCTCTGAAAGCTTGTGTTTTCAAATAAACCTGTTGGACTATAACCTGGTGCCATGTGATTTCTGACCTTGTCCACCCCAGTCCAACACCTGCTTCTCCACATCATGCCAATATCCTAGCACAGTGCCTCAGCCATCTGAGTAAACTGTTGAAAGAAAGATGGTTGGCCTGCTGTGTGACCTCGAAAGCCCCTTTAACCACTAGCACTGCAGTTATGATGGCAGACAGCTGAGCCTCCGTAGCACCAAGCCGGGCTTGTACGGATGCTGCCTGACCAGCTGAGTATTTCCAGCACTTTTAGTTCATATTTACAATTTCCGGCATCCTCAGTTTCTTTTCCGTTGGTATTAGCTTTAAGTGGTGCTAACATCAGGCTTACTAATTCACCATTAGAGTACACATCTTTCTCTTACAATGCCGTAAATGAAACTGGTATCAAAAAGTATTTCATGGTATTCTGAACAACTTCAATGGCCTTCAGATATAGGGTTTCCATTTAATCAGATGTAGTACTTATTTGCATTCATGTTTACTTATGGTATTAACAGACTGATTCATTTGAATCAGTGCCAACCCAGAGATCGTAACATGTAGTCTTTGTATTGTGAACCAAGTTACTGCTGTTCTAACAGAACTGCTGAATCAAGAAAGAAACAGATACAAAGATCATCCATTTTATTTAGTTTTAAAATGAATTCCCTCTGTGAACATTTTGGCTTTGCAGCATTTGAGGGATTAACTGACCCCCTGACTGCATCTATATTTCTTTAACTTGTCTCCATGGTGAAGTCATTCTGGGATTCCAGTCACCAGAACTGAAAGGTCTGATAGGATGTTCTCACAGCCAATGCAGTAGCACTCATTTACATGTCATCTATCCTGGATGCTCAGAAGAGATCAGGAATGCCTAGAAGTGAAGGTTGTTCTTTTCCTGTGAAAATCTCACCAGTTAAGCTCTCTGGTGAAGAAACCTGATAAAATACTTTAACCACTGTGCTCCAAATCTGTACTTAACTCTTGACAGCCTTGATACCACTTTTGACTGTATATCCCAAAATAAGCAAGGATCAGAATTTTCTATTTTTTGATGCCAAATTCTGTATTTTGTTTTATTTTCCCCGCTTGAAAAATTTCACAGAATAAAATTTGGAAATTGAAACTGTTGCTGTTTATTCTTTTATTTTTTGAAAATTGTTTTGAGCCCAATTCTGACAAATGGAATGCAAATCTCTTCTCAAGAAGTGTTGAGGTTGAATGTGATTTGCCAGAATTAACCTGCAGTTCTCTCAATAATTGTCCAAATTTAATCTCATACAATAGGTCTCCATTCTAAGACTGCTGTTTAAAGCTGATCGAATCTCCTGTGAATACAACTGCACACGAGGGATTGCTTCACAATCCAAAAACTACATGCTACAATCTCTGGGTGAGGTGGGGTGTAAAAGAGAGAGAGACACTAGATGAAAAACTTAAGATGATATAGAGTGAGACCTATTGCAAACTATTTAAAAACGAGGTAAGATTCAACATGTGGAAAGCCATAAAAGTACTCACAGCATCAATGCAGCAAGTACTGTACAATAGTGTCTTGTTCCCAGAAGGCTGATGTCCTTTTCACTCAGGTCCCACATTGAGACCATAACAAATCGGAACAGGAGTAGGCCATTTAGCCCTATGAACCTGCTCCACCATTCAAAAGGATCATGGTTGATCTGACATTCCTCATGTCCACTTTCCTGCCCTTTCCCCATAACCCAAGGAGTTCTAAAGATTCACAACCCTATGAGAGAAGAAATTCGTCTTCATCTCAGTTTTAAATTGTTGTCACTTTAGTTCTGAGATTATGCCCTTTGGTCCTAGATTCTCCTACGAGGGAAACCATCCTCTCAGCCGTTACCCTGTCAAGCCCCTCAAAAATCCTATACGTTTCAATGAGATCACCTCTCATCCTTCTAAATTCCAATGAGTAGAATCCCAATCTTTTTAGCCTTTGTTCACAAGACAAACCCTCCATACCATGGATTACCCTAATGAACCTTCTCTGAACTGTCTCCAATGGAATAATATCTTTCCTTAGATAAGGGGATCAAAACTGCTCACAGTACTCCAGATATTGTCTCACCAGCATCTTGTACAATTGCAGTAAGACTTCCCTATCTTATACTTCAATACTGTTTGAAATAAGGACCAAATTTCATTAGCTTTCCTGATTACCTGCTGCTAAGATAAATGCACCAGCTTTTTGTGTTTTGTGCACAAGTACCCCAAGTCCCTTCTGTTACAGCCTTCTGCAGATTTTCTCCATTTAAATAATACTCTGTTGTTTTATTCTCCCTTCCAAAAGGAACAACTTTGAATATTCCCACATTATACTCCATTTGCTGGCTTTCTGCCCACTCGCTTACTTATCAATATCTCTCTGTAAACTGTTTGTATCCGTCTCGCAAATTGCCTTTCAACCTAGTTTTGTGTTGTCTGCAAATTTGACTACATTACATTCGCTTCATTTTTCGAAACCATTAATATGTATTGTAAACACTTAACAGTTATAGCTCTGATTCCTATGGAACCCCACTGGGTACCAGTTGCCAACCTGAAAAAGAACCCGTTGTCCTCATTTGCTGTTTTCTGCCCATTAACT